GTTTAAGAACAATGGCTTCAGCTGTCGCTTTGCAAATTAAAGATGTGGATATTGATCCAAGTGGTACTTTTAAGTACATTCTTATCAAGGTGTCGGCTGGTAATGGTGGCAAATTAGAAGACAAATTGATAGTAAGGGGATATGCTGAGTGCCCTTATCACGGTAAGTTTTTAATTTATTTTAAAGCTTATTATTGGATTTTTTTTAACTTTAATAAAACAAAGTGAAGTATAAATAAATTTTATTTTATTACAACAATTTCAATGTACATTACTTATTGTTAAGGCGAGGATTAACTTATTAAAGTTATACTTGCTTTATTTAAACTAAATACAATTACAAATCACTTCTTATTTTACTTACTTTGATGAAAATTAGTAAAATTTGGTCATTTATTGTTATTTTTACAATTACCTCTAACTCTATTATTACAATCAATGTAGGTGTTGCACAGTTTTCTAATTTTCATATCTTTACATATATTATATCTATATATTTTGGTTTGCTATTTGTCTAAAACACATTAAAAATATTTATATAAAATATATATCATGACGTATCTAATAAAGATCTGATTTTTTTACATTTGGGAGGCCTGAGATGTAACACAGTAACCCTTAGTTTATACATTGCTTTAAACGGTTATTATTCTGAAACTAAAACAAGTAATTGACATTTATATAGCATAATCTTTGAGCTGTAGTTGCAGTAAAATAATAGTACACGTGGAAAAATAATTATACAATAGATATTCTATTATTTAAAATTTCAAGTCTTAAATTTCATGACAAATTGGTGAATGCGCCAAATAAAAATTTTCTTCCTAACTCAGAATGAAGTTAACTGAAAATTGAAAGTATTTTATCATCTTATGGCATAACATGATAAAATAATATCTATTAAAGATATTATTTTTTTTGCATGCATATACCGTGTATTTTAATATTACATAGACTTGACATGATTTTGTAAAAATTGATTTTAATAAAAAAAATTAAGATAAAAAATTAAAAATTTGGTATGCATTGAGCACGTGCCTATTTTAGAGAAATAGAGCATGTTTTGGAAATCTGATTCAAAATTATCACAAGTAAATAACAGACAGATACTTTATTGCAATTCCTGACAAAATGGTGAAGGGCCATAATAAAAATTTTCTTCGAAACATTCTTGGTAGTAAAATATTTTAAAAATTGTTTACCTTTTTCTTATGACAAATAAATATAATTATATACCTTTATATGACAGATATTTTATTAAATTTAATGTTTGAAATAAATAATAATATGTTTTGTAAAAAAATACTTTTTTTTTCATTTTCTATCTGTGATTTGCCTATGATTATATACTATACAATACATATAGGTAATTTATATGACATATAGTTTTTTATAATAAATAACTTCCATTTTACTCAAATCTTGGACAAAATATATCAAATCAACAGCCTTATCTATATTCCCATTTATTAAAGATTAAAACCATATAAAATACGAGTAAATTATTTTTTTTAATAAAGTTTTTCTTCTGAATATCTTTGAAATTTTTGTAATATACAAAAAAAAAACGGCGTCAGCGATGGTTATGAAATGAAGATCGCTGTTATTTTATACGTAAAATTGTATAGGGAATGTTATCGATCGTCATTTCCAAGCCAACTGGTTGCCATTTTTTTTCAATCATACCTACTAATTATTTTAAAAAAAATCAGTATATGTTTTCAATCATTATACAGGGTGTCCCAGAAACAAGTGCGAGTATTTTAAGTGGTACTAGATCTCGATAAAAGAAACATATTTTCTCTTTATCGTTTTTCAAATAAGTCCAAAATAACGGAGTTATTTTATTTTGAAAATTTCCAAAAAAATGATTTTTTGCTAAAATTTTGAGAACCACAGGATCTTTTCTGGATTTTCTTTCTTGTAAATTTAATCTAATACCTATGTTGCCATATTATCAAGAAATTATGTTTTTTAACGAAAAACTAAAAAAATCCAAAAATTTAAAAAAAACCTCATAGGCGTGTTTCTGGGGTTGAACTATACTACCAGTTAGAATACTTGCACTTATTTCTGGAACACTCTGTATAAAACAGAATGTTTTATATATACAAAATACAAACAATGATTTGAATTGTAGATGTTCTACAGGGTTGTTCACCACATACGACACGGAGTATTGTAGCTAAACGAATATATTTTTACAAATTTCAAGTTTTGGGTTCGATGAAGGACTATTAGAGGTACAATTTAAAAATAATTTTACAAGATATAGAGTGTCCCAAATAAGTAAAACATATCAAAGTTGTATTTTTTTAAATGGAACACCCTGTATATTATTACATTTTTAGTTTCTACGATTAAAATAAATTACAGTTGAGGGTTGGAACCTTTGGTGTTACACAGCAAAATAAAAACACTAAATCACCACAATACACCAAAACACTTTTACTTTTACACTCAGTGTAAAAGTAAAAGTGTTTTGGTGTATTGTGGTGATTTAGTGTTTTTATTAAAATAAAGGTAAATTTGATTAAGGTTTATTATACTTAAACCTTACCGTTTTTGAAATATTTTCAATTTTGTGAAATTGCAGTAAAAATTTTAAAGCTTCATTTCTCCAAGGGTATCAATGTTTTTAATACTAAATATTTAATGAAGTTTATTTATTGATCAGTTATTGTGTTGCAATAATAAAAAAATAATACCACCTTATACAGAGTGTCTAAAAAATTATTTTAAATAATTATTAGCTTAAACGGCAATAACTTCTTTAATTTAAATGGAATGCCCTGTATATTTTAGGAGAATCAGATGCACAATTAAATTGTCTATCAAATTGTATTATACCATTTTTTACCTATCCCTTCAAGTTTTCGTATAAAATGCATTTTCTTATAATTTAGACCTCATTTATCAATATATCAATGGAATATTGACATTTTAGATTGTTTTTAAAGCAACAAATGTACAAAATGTACAGACTAGTAATATTATCGTTTTTAGCAAAACGATAATATTACTAGCCCATTTGTATGCAAAAAGAAAACTATTTAAATCTTTATAAAAGAGTATACCATTAATTAAATATAACACCATTATTTGCGCCCATATACTAATTAATTACATACTTAATTGTGTTCGTTAATAAATTGTTATAAATAAATGTGGATTTTTAAGTCAGAAATCAATATAATAATAAGTTATCAAATTAAAGTCTTTGTTGTTATAAATAAGCATTTATTAAAAAATGAAATATCATTTTTAAGGTGTTACTTTTTATCACACTGTCTAATGCCCATATAAAATTCAGTTTTTTAGTACTTGGAGCAATTATTATTAATCAAACAGTCAGTTAATGTAGTTTGAATCATATTAATTGGTCCTCTTTAACAAATATTTAAACAGTTTATTTTTTATTTTTTAATGAAATAAACGAATTATATCGACAATATTAGTATCTGTACTCTTAAAAAATTTGGTACATCTTTAAAAATAATCTAAAATGTCAATAGTCCATGGGTATATTGATAAATAAGTTCTAAATTACAAGAAAATGCATTTTCTACGGAAACTTAAAGAGATAGGTAAAAAATGGTATAATATAATTTGATAGACAATTAAATTGTGCATCTGATTCTCGTAAAATATACAGTGTGTTCCATTTAAATTAAACAAGTTATTGCCGTTTGAAGCTAATAATTATTTAAAATAAATTTTTAGACACTCTGTATAAGGTAGTATTATTTTTATTATTGCAACACAATAACTGATCAGTAAATAAACTTCAGTAAATATTTAGTATTAAAAACTTTGATACCCCTGGAGAAATGAAGCCTTAAAATTTTTACTGCAATTTCACAAAATTGAAAATATTTCAAAAACGGTAAGGTTTAAGTATAATAAACCTTAATCAAATTTACCTTTATTTTAATCGTAGAAACTAAAAATGTAATAATATATAGGGTGTTCCATTTAAAAAAATACAACTTTGATATTTTTTACTTATTTGGGACACTCTGTATCTTGTAATATTATTTTTAAATTGTAGCTCTAATAGTCCTTCATCGAACCCAAAACTTACTATTTGTAAAAATCTCATCGTTTAGCTACAATACTCCGTGTCGTATGTGGTGACCAACCCTGTATAATGAATGCTTTAACATTAACAGATGAGTAAGGGTATCAAATAAAAAATAATACAATGCATATTTCATTTATTGATAAAACTAAGGGTACTACTAATATAAATAATAATTTCTCAAAAATACATCCCATATTTTCTCAACACTTTTTATTTTGAGCTATATTTTTAAATTCTTCGATTTTGCCTTAGAATTTTGAATCATTATAATCTTTTTTATTTATGTCAATTTTTAAATTTGCGTAATTCTAATTTTTTAAATAATTTTATAAATATAGAGCTTTTCACTTCACATTCTCAAAGTATTTTGTTTATTATGAGATTTTTTTGTTGTGTAAAACAAATAAAACAACTTTATTAAATTATTTTATTGGAATGGATTAGCTAAGTACAGATTAATAGCATTAGTACCATCAGTACTAAAAATGTAGTATTTATTTTTTCGAAATTGATATTTTTTCGATTTTTAGGTACTATTGATTGATTTTTATCATTCTTAGTAGATAACTAATAATACTGTCGCTGTTGATTTGACAATACACGTAAAAAAATACCTATATCTCAGATCTTATAAACTTCATGACCGATATATTCATTTTCTTCTTATTATTTTAGGGTAGAATGTTGCATTTAGTTTTCGAAAAATAAAAAATCACTTTTACAGAGTGATAACTCGGCTATTATTACACCTACAGGAAACAACAAAAAATTAATTTCGAATTATTTATAAAAAATGGCAGAAAAAAAATGCAGTTTTTAGATGAAAAATCAACATTTTCAATCCTAAATAACTCGGAAAATATTAGTTTCCTGAAAAAATGTTATAGAACATCTTTTGCTTATAATTCATCCCTTTATTGATTTTTGCAATTAAAATGGGTGATTTATTTTTCACCCACAAGAAAGGGTGGCACTCACCCCCAGGGTGAAAGCACACATCGCTACTACGTAACTTTTGATTCTTACATATATCTCTATTCAGTGTTAACATTTCAAGTCAATCGGTCAGGTGTTCAGAATTCGGACCCTAATCAAACTTAGTCAAAATTTTAGGGTGGCGGAATTTCTGTGACGTACCTAAGAATTTACTTGGTATCGATATATCCACACAGGTTACAAGACCTAAGATCCATATTTACAATATTCTAACTCATATTCATTTCTACTGCTATGATCCGCGTCTGGTCGTCCTCAAGCAACAAAACGCTTTCGTCAAATTGTACACTAATCCGCGCCGTTCCTCCTCGTCCCCGAACTCCTCCGAACACTCACACACTTTGGTACTACCCTCGTTCCGCTGCCCGTTCAGTTTCGACGCTACGTCACTGTCCGATTCGTCCCTATGCGCGGACACGACGGGCAGGATCTCGTCCAGGTCCGGGAACTTGCGACGTTGCCGGCTGCCGAACGAGTCGACCTGGTGTCGGGGCGATTGCGACAGGTTCCTGATGGATTGGAGCGGATCCTCCGGTTCTTTTCCGATTTCTAGGGTGCTGGGACGACGTCTGGCAACGTTGGCTGCGGGACTGGTGGGGTTTGAGTCGGATTGGTTGGTGGTTTGGCTGGGGGATTGGACGATGATGGAAGGTTTGGGATTTACGTCGCTGGGGTGAAGATCGGTTTTGTTTATTTCTACCACTACCTGGAGGTAAAAAAAGGATGTTAGTAAAACTTTTTTGACACCTTACAAAAAAAAATTGGTCAAGTGGTTCTGTACCATTCATTATCTATGCAACATTAGAGACTATATTATTATAAACTTTTTCCGAAAAAAAATGAAGTTGCTAAACACATCACTAAAAATTGTATTAATTAATAATAAATATGTAAAAAGTAAAAAAAAACGATTAAAAACAAGTCGCCTTGACTAGGATTCGAACCTGCCTTACTACGGCTTCAACGTCATAGCAGCGTAAAGTCCTAACGCCTTTAACCCCGCGGCCACAGAGGACTTGAAAGATTCTATGTCAAATTCTTACTTAAAAGATAACGTTTAGTGAAAGTACTTTTTTATTTATAAACATTTATTTAATTTTGTTTTTAGTATTTGTTCCTATAGCGGAAACATAGATACATTATCTGTAAATATTTCAACTGTCTAACTATCACGGTTCATAAGATAGACCTTTGTGACAGACGGAGGGACGGACAGCAAAGTCTTTAAGCTCCGCGCGCACTGAATAGGTATCGGTGAGAGCGAGCGGTCCGAACCGGTCGGAAAGTCGATTGTAGCCGCGCACTGGACTCGCACGATCGACGGTCGAGAGTACGTCAACAGCACAAATTTGAGCATAGACGAGGAGAAGTTTATTCAAATTTAGTCAAATTCATTCGGCATTTCAAAAAATTATAAAGTATTATTACTATTTATATTTTTATGCAACTTTTTATATTTTATGCTTTATGATGGAAATTGATATTATTTAGATCTTAACCAAACACACATTAATATCTTAACAGATCTTAACAAACCACATAAAATTAGTGAAATAGAGTGGAAGATGGGGATAAAATATACTACATGACTCTTAGCTTGACCGGTTTTAACAAATTTGGTATAACTCAAAAGGGTTTAATTTGTTCTTTAAAAACAAAGCTAGAAATGAAAAATAGTCAAATAAAACTTCTATTTTTAGTTTTTTAATCTAAATAAGTGTCATTACAAACATTTATATATAGCTTTTATTTTGAAGATTGGGAAGTGGCTAAGCTAGTAATAACAGAACAAAAACTGAAATGGGCGATCGACACCTTTCAGCCCTATAAAGCAGCAGGAGTGGATGGGATCTTTCCTGCCCTTCTAAAGGAAGGTCAGCAAATAGCTACTCACCATCTACTAAGCATTACAAGAAGCAGTCTAGCGATGGGATATATACCAACCACATGGAGAAGAGCAAAAGTAATCTTCATACCCAAAATAGGCAAAACTGACTGGACAAATCCCAAGTCATTTAGGCCTATTTGTCTCACATCGTTCATACTAAAAACGCTGGAGAAAGTAGTTGACAACCATATTGGAGAAAATCATCTAAAGGTTAAACCACTGCATGATAGTCAGCATGCATATAGAACGGGCAGATCCACAGAAACTGCTCTGTACCAATTAACGGAGCTAATACAGACAAGTCTGGATAGCAAAGAAACAGCAATTTGTGCCTTCTTGGATATTGCGGGGGCGTTTGACAATATACCACATAAGGTGGTCAGGCGATCTCTAGAAACAAGAGGGGTGAACAGAACTATTATTCGCTGGTTTTGGGAAATGCTGTCAACACGAACAGCAGAGGCTCAGATGGGCACCAAAACTGTAGCTGTTAAAACAACGCAAGGAACTCCACAAGGTGGAGTAACCTCCCCTTTGCTGTGGAGCTTGGTAGTGGATGAACTACTAGACGAATTAACTCTAGCGGGAATACACTGCATTGGGTATGCAGATGACATAGTCATCATCGCTCGGGGGAAAAGGCACCCTGTGTAATATTATCCAAAGACGACTCCGTATCACTGAGAGATGGTGTAGGACTGTCGTGCTGAGTATCAACTCAGACAAAACCGCGATAGTGCCATTCACCAGAAAGCGAAGTCTGAAAAACTTGAAAAGAATTCAACTAGATGGAAAGGTAATACTGCCAACACAGGAAGTTAAATATCTGGGAATAACCCTGGACAGTAAACTCCTGTGGAACAGGCATATTAAGAACACTACCAGCAAAGCCATAAAGGCTCTCATGATATGCAGAAGACTGGCCGGAAATAGATGGGGCTGCTCCCCTAACACTTTGCGCTGGATGTATACCATGATAGTAAGACCCATGATTACTTATGGAGCAGTTGCCTGGTTCACAAAACTAGAGCAACGGACGGCAAGGCTAAACTTGTGCAAAGTCCAGAGACTAGCATGCGTTTGCATCACAGGAGCCATGAGAACCTGTCCAACAGCAGCAATGGAGGTCATTCTAGATCTAACACCACTGCACATTGTCATTGCATATATGCCAATGCGACAATGATTAGAATGGTCACTAACGGAATTAGTACTGGGAGAATTGTCAGATCAGGGGCTTGGAACACCCTCATAAAGGAAATACCACTCCTGCAACTCCCAGTGGACGATATGCCAAGAACCTACAACTTTGAGAAACATCTCAATGTAGTATTGGGCAATAAAAAGGATTGGAAGAGCAAAACGCTTGCCCAGCAGTTAAAAGACCATACCATAACTTGGTATACTGATGCTTCCTAAACCAATACGGGAACAGGGATCGGAGTGTTTGGGCCGAGAGCTAAATACTCCGAACCAATGGGCACTTACCCTAGTATCCTACAGGCAGAAATCTACGCTATCGAAAGATGCGTACAACTTATATTAGATAGGAACTATCCGAAACAAGAAATAGCCATCTTGTCTGATAGCCAAGTAGCGTTAAAAGCGATCAACTCAGTATCAATCAATTCGAAATTGGTCAAAGAATGCATAGAGAAGCTGAATAAATTAGGCAAAGAAAACAAAGTCCTCCTAATCTGGGTGCCTGCTCACCAAGGGATAGAAGGCAATGAAAAAGCAAATAATCTAGCTAGGAAAGGAGCGAACACTCCACTAACTGGACCAGAACCGTTCTGCTTTCCAAGTGGTAACCAACTCAAGGCGGAACTCAAGAACTTGGAAGATTCCATCCGCAACCTGGAATGGAAATCTTGCAACGGTCTAAGACACTGAAGAAGTTTCTGAGGGCTTATGATCAAGAAAATCACAGATCTTCCTGGGTTTATGTAAGAACAATCTGGATTGTCACGGGGTTTTTAACAGGACACTGTCTCCTCAATGAACACCTCAGTAGATTGAAACTAAGAAGAAACGGCGAATGCAGATTCTGTGGGGAAGATGGGGAAACACCAGTACACCTCATCACTGAGTGCGCCGAGACGACAACCATTCGTGCCATGAATTTTGGTACGACTGATATTGGATGGAGAACTACCTCTATAAAACCGTCCCAGAGCTACTGGCTTTTGTCAGCCCTGGGACTGTATGATGAGTTATGACTCAAGAAAGGGGGACACAATGGATCTGTAAGGTCGCAGTAACCTCCTCCCACTCATTCTATTCTAGTTTTTTATTTTAAGTTTTAAATCTTTTTGTTTTTAAGTCGTAAATAAACGAGTCTGTGTTTACATTTTGTTTGTCGATTGATCAGCCTGACTATGGCCTGGTTCTTCAGAATCTATAATATACGTATAAATAATTTTCTACGTTTGTGGTAAGAAAAAATTATATATTAAACACATTGTTAGTGATAAAATTGTATTGTATATTATAGATTCTAAAGAAGACCGAATTAAAATTAGTCGAAACGTCAATCATTAACCAAAATGTAAACACAAGTTTCGTTTTATTCACTATTGACTTAAAACCAAGATTTTAAAAACTTAAAATATAATGAAAAAGTCAAAGAAAATTGAAAAAATAAAAAATATAAATAGTTTTTATAGTATACCGTATTATGGAAAAGGAACGGCATCAGCGATGACCATGAAATGAAGGTCGGTGCCATTTTATATGTAAATTTATATAGGAAATGTCATCAATCGTTATTTCCTATCCAACTGGACGCCGTTTTTTTCTATCATACATTAGATATACATATGTACAAATATTTTATTCAAACATAAATATTATTTTCTCTATTTGTACCTTTTACGGAGCGATCAACATAGTAACATAGGATGACTATTTATCAGCTGTTATTACTAACGTCAAAACAAACCAAAAATTAAATAAAATAAAATAATATAAATTAAAATAATATATGATAAGTTTTTTGACGATATTTAAATTCGACTTACAAAATAATGTGAGATAATCAAAACGAGATGAGAAATAAATGGGTTTAATCGGAAGGTTTTCCAATTCAGTTATTGAATAAGTGTAGTAAACAATATAGGTTGTAGAATGTAGAATGTTTAGGAGGGGAGTTAATCACCGCGACCTTATAGATCTATTGTGTGTTCCCCTTTCTTGAGTTATAACGAGTTATAACTCATCATACAGTCTCAGGGCTTTAAGAAAAGCCAGTATCTGAGACGGCTCCACAGAGGCCAGCTTCCATCTCGACATCAGACGTGCCAAGGTTCATGGCAATGGTCGTCGTCTCGGCGCACTCAGTGATAAGGTGTTCTTGGTGTTTCCCCATTTTCCCCACAAAATCTGCATTCGCCGTTGTTTCTCAGTTTCAGCCTACTGAGGTGTTCGCTGAGGAGACAGTGTCCTGTTAGAAACCCCGTGACAACCATTGAAGATTGTTTTACTTAAATCAAGGAAAACCTTGATTGTTCTCGGTCATAAGTTCTAAGGAACTTTTTTCGAGTGTCTTGAATGACCGTTGAGGACACCCATTCCAAGTTACGGATGGAGTTTTCCTGAGATTCTTCAGTTCCGCTTTCAGTTGGTTCCTGTTTGGAAAACAGAAACGGTTCTTGGCCCCAGTTTAGTGGAGTGTTCGCTCCTTTTCTTGCTAGATCATTTGCTTTTCATTGCCTTCTATCCTTGGTGAGCAGGCACCCAGAGTAGGAGGACTTTATTTTCTTGCCTAATTTGTTGAGCTTCTCCAGGCATCTTGACCAACTTCGAATTTGTTACTGGAG